GCAACCTTGTCGCACACCTCGCTCGAGAAGGAAGAAGTCCGATGCAAGACCATTGTGCGGTACACAGCTCGATGCTTGGTTGTAAATAACTTGAGACCAGTTGAGTATGTCAGGGCCAAAATTAAACGTTTGTAAAGCGGCTCTTAAGTAGTTTCATTCTATTGTATCAAACGCTTTTCGAAAGTCAAGAAATATGGCAATACCGGGTTTTTCTTCCTGCTTAGTGTAAGACATTACATCTTGAATTAGTCTAACGTTTTCACCGATAAATCGCCTTTAATGTAACCAGTTTGGTGAGAGTTTATGATTTTAGGAAGGACTTTTTCTAGTCTTTTTGCCATAGATTTTGTCAGAATTTTGTAATCAACGTTTAGTACAGATATGGGTCGCAGGTTTTCAAGTAAAGTTTTGTCTTTGTTCTTTTTGGGGATGAGTGAAATAACTCCGCGCTTTTGGCTGATAGATAGTGAACCTTTTTGGAAAGCATAATTAAAACTGGCAGTCATCTCAGTGCCAAGGTCACTCCAGAAGAATTTGGTGTTTTATTGTTTTTAAACTCTTTTAAGGCAGTTAAGCATTCTTCTTTTGAAATCATGCCTTCACACAGTATTTGCTCGTTTTCATCTAGCGGATCAATATTCTCTAAATTGAATAAATCAGATTCAGGCAGATTATCCTGGGAATTGTGCGACTTGTAAAGAGTTTCAAAAAAAGTTTTTTGTTCTTGTAGTATCTCAAACTGATCACAAGTTACCTGATTGTTACGAAGTTTGAGCCTTGTGACTGTTTTTTTAAAATGATTTCGTTTTTCCAGGTTGAAGAAGTATTTGGAATTTCGCTCACCAAACTCATGCCACCGAGCATTGCTCCTAAGAATGGCGCCGTTTTTTTTTTGTCGCATGATCGTTTGAAGGCGCAATTTTGTCGCGTAAAGCTCGTTCAATATTCTTTTGTCGCTAGGGTTTTGTTCACACTTTTGCATAAGTTCATTAACTTTATTTTGAAGGGTAGCCTCTTCATTCCTCTTGTCTTAGCTTTGATTTTTGAATACTTGATTGTGAATCCGCGAATTTCCATTTTAATTAAGTCCCATTTTAGACCTAAGTCATCCAGGTCAGCATATTTATCTTTGAAATCCGGTAGACTTTCACGGATTGCGGAAGTGAAGTCTTCGTCGTCTTATAGAGAATTATTAAATTTCCAAAAACCAGGAGCTTTAGGTTGCAATAACTCTTTTGTCTTAAAGATGTAAAGTGACAGCCGAGTGATCAGTTTCAGGGGCGTTAATTATATTGCAAGCATGTGTGTCACTGCTGAGTTCTTTTGAAATTAAAAAGAAGTCTAGTCAGCATTTTACTATACCTTGCTCAGAAAGAAAGCTACGATCTCTTTCTTGATATTTTCAAAGTAACGCAACTCTTGACAGTGACAAAAAAAGGTGATTGATCAGCAACTAACGTGTGCAAATTCGTTACATTTGGAGTTTTCGCATTATCAATAGCAAAGGTTTCAGCAAAAAAATAAGATGTTAAAGTACCAACAGCGGTTAGCCATAGCACTACTAGTTTTGTCCTTACGATGGATCAGAAGGGCTTTTTTGTTGGTAGCGTAGTTCCAAGGTGGGAATTTGCTCGAAGTATGTGTTTTCACTTGTTAGGCGTAATTATCCCCGCAGGTGTTCTTAGGAATCTCAAAGGCCTCCTGCATAGCAGTAGCGAGTAGAGCCTTGTCAATATTCTGGCGTTCTTTTTTTTTGTGACTCTCTTTGGAAACTCATTTAACTACTCCTGGCATGGGTTTAACAAATAACGGACGAGTTAACTGAACTTTTAACTAAGTTTGTAGCTCGACTAAAAATTCAAATACCAATTCCTGTGGGTATTGTTTTCTATTATATGCCGTTTGATGCCACCCTCGTCCTTCACATGAATAATGCCAAAGGATCGATGTTTGCCCCGAGCCCATCTTCAACTTCCCTTAGCAGTTTTCAAGCGGATTCAAACCGTCAAAATATTGGTTGGTCGTCCTTAAGCCCCAACGCGTCTGAAACATTTTGTTTTGAACTGATCAAAATAACGGAGAAACAATATTCGTGTCAATGGAAATCTCTTCCGAAACGGCCAAACTCAGGTAGGCAAAGGTGAATAGTTCATTTTTGTTTTATTAAAATAGTATCAGTAACCTATAAACTAAAGCTCATAGATAACAATACGGACTGGTTCCCAGTGTAAAATATCCTTATTTTCTTTAACAGAGCATACTCTCTCTTTAATTATATGATTCATTTGTTTGAAAGCTTGGTCTCTTTATCCTTCTACGAGTGAAGCTATTCAGTAATACCGTTTTTTGTTTTTACTTTTTTAAGTCTAACCAATGATGTAATGAGTAATGTCATTTATCCTCAATTTAAATGCCTATCAACTAAATTGAATAGTTGTCTTAGCGGAGTGAAAGGGCCTTCATTGGCATGTGAAGGCAGGAGGCAAATCCTTGTGTCAATCTAACGCACTGGTTTGAAGTTGTTTCCAAGCACTTGTAGTTTTAAATTGTTTTCATGCACTGAACAATATGGTGCGCGTGTTAATTGGCTAATAAGTACTTATCAGTTATTACTAAAACTAGTGATAACCGAGGGCAATGGAATACGGGCGAGTAGCTATCAGGTCTAAGGTCAAAACGCTCTTACATTTTAAGTAGATACAAAATATTGTCATGATATAAACACTTGAATTCTTTTTGGGGAAGCGGTGTTGTCTTTTCAGTGCTTTTGCCTTTATCTATCTTATTCCTAGCACTCTAGAATAGAAAATGCGTGAGATTTCTGTCAAACATTGCGTGTTCTTAAGTTATTTAACTATAATACGTCGCAGCCTTGTTATTACTTGGTTTCCGGATAACCTGAATATT